GGGAAATTGTATATAGCTTACACATTTATATTGCATTAAGACCTAAAGGTGTCCATTGTTTAGGTTTGCTAGCTAAAGTTAGCATAAAATGTTAGCAGTGAATCCTTACAGACACATTAGACATTACTAGCATTAGCTGGTAACGCCCATGCTGAACCCATACACAGTATGGGACAGATGTTGCTAATGAGTCTGTTTAGCTAAATCCCATGCTCACTAAAAGTGCACAAGTTGTAATTTTTTTTATTTAGCTTACTCATTTATATTGTACTAAGACCTAAAGGTATCCAATGCTTAGGTTTGCTAGCCAACGTTAGCATCAAATGTCAGCAGTGAATGCTTATAGACACAGTAGACATTGCTAGCATTAGCTGGTAACGTCCATGCTGAACCCATACACAGTATAAAAAATGGATGTGGCTTATGAGTCGGAAAAGTGAAGCCAGTAGAGAAGCGCCCTAAACCTGTATTATTTTTTAATGACCACCAGGGGACAGTATGTAGTGTTGTAAAGAAGACTATAGAAGAAGTCCTATAGACATTTATGAAAAAATGGCTTTTTAACTTGACATTTTAAAACACAGTCCCTCATTTAGGGTCATATTATATAAATTATTAAATATATTTTGTAAATTTTGGTTACACTGCATTTTACAAAGGAGGATTATCTTTTATATTAGCCATAGCTAGAGTTGTAGTTGTTAGCCAGTGAGCAAGCAGTTTCACACTCAGACTCACCCTTTTCTCATCACATCCAGTTTCAAAATAACTAAATGGCAATAGTAAAAATGCACAGAACAGGACTTCAAATATCAGGGTAACTACATCCGTCTGTTTATGCCTCTATTTACCCCTCCATCCAAACATGTTAAGTTGCACAAAAACAAGATGTTGACTCAAAAGTTTAACCTCAACAGTGACGATGTCACAGTGACTAGGACCATCTTTTATTTGCAGTCTGTTTTTTCTTTGTTTGTTTCTTGTCAATAGTAGTCCTGTATTGCTAAAGGTTAAGTATTACTCTGTTTTATTAAAAAAAAAAAAAAAAAAACTGGTGTGAAAAGCAAAGAGTCAGCAAACCTTTCTACTCTCAGCAAGAATAAATATCCTTTTAAAATCTCTGGGTTTTACTAGACTGTTGTTTAGGCTGTACTAAGGTTAAGGTCACAAATATGAACCTTGTTTGGAACATACTTTTAATCCTTGGTTAAGTGAATTTTTAAAAATTCTACAATATGGTGTGTTTTTATTGTTTCCAGGATCCTATTTATATATTTTGATGGGCAGGTTACTTGAAAAAAACATAATGCTAAAATCTTTACATGCGATTTAAATGCTGTTGTGTAGAAGCCTTAATTTAGTGCGAATATACTCTTTTCCTTGAGCACTATCGGTCCTCTCAGATAACTATTTAACTGGGTTGATTTTCCCCCAAAATGTCAAACATCTAACTTAAGGTTACATCTTCCGTGCAACAGCTGTCATATTCTCTGTCTGAAGGTTATGACAGGGAGTACAAAATCAAGGTTGAGGGAGGGAAAAAAAGGAAATCCGCTGTATATGCATCACTTAACCTCCTACTCCGCTATCATGACTGTGATCCATGACAGCCAGGCATTCTCCAAAGAGCTTGGGAAGAGATTAAAGCCTCTCTGTCTGTCTCTCATGCTGCTAAGCACCAGTTCCCCCTCATTCAAAGGGCTGAAACCAAGGCTTTGAATAGAACAGTCACGGACCAATCGCAGGCAGGGGAGGGGTGCCTCTGTCCTTCTAATAAAGTCACCGAGAAAGCATTCACACTCTGTAGGTCGAGCACTCCACCTAGTGTTTGTGAAGAAACACAATCAGACTCTCTGAGGTGATACAAATGGGTAAAAGCAAACTCCAAATGTGCCCGCACAATGAGCACATTCAGAGAAACACAAGGTGATTAAAGGAAATCCAAAAGGGCTAAGGGAAGTTTTACAAAAACAGGGCTTATTCCAGGACCTGCCACTAAATCAGGCACCTCCATAAACAGCAGAGTATTTTGGCACAACATCGAACATACCGAGGAAACGTCTAAGCTGGACATCAGTCAGCTTATTTAACTATTTATTTCGATAAATTAACACCCTAAATAAGTACGTTTGATGCCAAGTAAATTTGCTCCCTGAATTGTAGAAAGTGAGATAACAGCCTCCATATGGTAAAAATGTTTAAAGGGCTTCAAACTGACTGAGAGGCAGCGCTGTCTTTATCTCTGCTATGTCTTTAAGTTATTAGCCTTAATTAAACCTGACTGCACTAGAAGCACCAACACTGACTAAAGATATTCCATTCTGTTTGTTACTTCATTCAAACTGGAGAATGTTAAATGCTCAAATGTTATTAGATGCAAGTGGCTCAAATCCTGAGAATAAAAGAGGCATTTTGTCAGAGGTATCTTCCTCCCCACTGTCGCCAAGCGCTGTCTCAGGTATGTCCTGAGGAGTCAGCTGAATGGTAAGAAGAAGATCCGGGCGTGATCAGGTACCCTGCTGGGATAATAAGCTGGCCAAAGGAAGAGAAATATCAAGATCAGAATGCTAGCGAGTGTCAGTACCACAGTCTCGATTGAGGCAACAAACATCCATGAGTACATCAGGAAGATGGCCAGAACCGACCGCATGCTCAGTGAATACCAAAGGCAGCAGAAACCCAAGAAAGAGGAGGAACCATCATGGAAGGACAAGCCCCTGCACGGTATGTACCACCAGCAGATAGAGGAAGTGGCTGACATCTAGAAGTCCTGCCAGTGGTTGGACTGTTAGACAGCACAGGAACAAGCTCTGAGCACAAGATCCATAGAGGCTGGGGTCTATCACACCAGGCAAGACCCCAGGTGCAGGCTGTGTAAAGATGCCCCTGAGACAATCCAGCACATAACAGGGTGCAAGATGCTAGCAGACAGGGCATACATGGAACACCATAACCAAGTGGCCAGCATAGTGTACAGGAATATCTGTGCCGAGTATGGACTGGAAGTCCCAAGGTCAAAATGGGAGAAATGATCGAGAATGGCTGAGCTAAGATCCTGTGGGGACTTCCAGATATGGACGGACAAAATAAAATTAAAAGTCTAATAAAATTAGTGTTAATAATTACCAGATTTCTTTGTTTGTTTTAAACCAGCAAGGAGTCATTGCCGATTAGCGAGCCCATCCCAGGATGTCAAATACCGCCATTTAGTTTAGGTTAAGGTTACAAAGCAACTGGCATCCTTCAGCTCATGCCTCCTGTCACAGACATTGTGAGGTCTCCTTCATAATGGCTCAGATTTGGATCTAAACCGAAATCGTCCCCTAAATATAAACGGTTTTAGTGCCTAAATGAAATGGGACAAATGGCAGCCTGCAGGTTCAGTCTTGTGATTTTTCGCTACCATCGGGCCAACAGAGGATACAAAATGAAAGCATCTTAAGATGGTCATTGCTGTAAACTGTTATGTCCCTTTTCATCACTACCTATTCGACTTGACACAGCTCGACTAAAAGAGCTACAAATAACATCGAAACTGAATAATAATCCAAATATTACAAACATTAGTTCTAATGTTTAGCAGCAATACAAATAATATTACACAGATTACAAAACACGCAACATTTCATTAATAGTTTACTGTTGGTAACAAAAGTTCAATTAGTGAGTTACAGTTTAATGATGGTGTAACTCTAAAGTGTTAGTGGATGGATGGCTCTTCACGTAGCCTCCTTTTACAATCATTACACTTGTGATGTTATAATCTAGTCTGGCCATGATGGAAACCACAGCACAGCCGCACCGTACCACCATGGTTCATCTTGAATAGAAGTGTGCTTTTCATGTATCCCAAATCTAGATTTCTGTTCGTTTCACTTTACAAGCAGAGCCACCATGTGTATAATAACCAATAATAATAATCATAATAATATACCCAGCAGACCAAACTTGCCCACAAAAGTTGCTTTAATTGATTGTTAAAAATAAGTAAGGCTATAGATGCTGCAGACGTACAAGATATTTGTACTGCAAACATGGAGGAGGAGGAGCCCCTGCTGAGTTAATGAAAGCAGTCGCAGAGGGTAGGGATGACACAGCTGTGTGGAGGAGCTCTGCTGAAGGCTCTACAACAAAGTTTCCTCTGTCGTGCTGTGATGGGATGGAGCCGCCCAATCAGTGCCTCCCAGACTTCAGTTTGACTTCATTTCCCACGCTGGAGGTGGAAACTGATGCGTCTGCTGACAGGCAGCAGGGCTTCTGCTTTCAAACACCCCACGCTCACTCCGCTTCAGAGGTGCATAGCTGAGTAAAGTCATACAATAAACAAAAAACCCAAGCCACATTCATGTTTCATACACATATATATAATCATATATATTCATATTCCATGTACAAAGATACAATCTGAATTGCAAAGGCTCAATCATTGTAAATAAATACTGAAATGGCTAAATTGCAATATAATTACTCTTCTCTCCTGGAGAGAAGACGCACAAACACAAACACACACACACACCCTCGCAAAACGAGAACAGGCCTCCGCTATAGTGGTTCAACACAAAGAACAAAACAAAAGTGCAGCGTGCTGACACGCAGGCCAGAGACCGTCTCCAGTGGACATCTGACACACTGCACTCAGTGGGGACAGACATGAAAAAGAAACGTTCATATGGAACATGGCAAACGGGGCTTTGCTGCCAGGCTGCGATATTGCTAACTCACATATGTTCCAGTTTTGACCTCCTATTAAAAAGAAGAATTTTGGG